ATCTATCTATCTATCTATCTATCTATCTATCTATCTATCTATCTATCTATCTATCTATCTTTACCAATGTTGAAATAGTCTTACTAAGAGATTCAGATTCCATGGCTTTTTCCATGATGGAAAACAAATGCTTTCGCAAACAAAGCAGTTTTTTACACTTCCAGACTGTTCCCATACTTTGTTTCTCCTAAGGTTCACGACCTTTTCTTAAAAATATTTATTTCTGAACAAAATCCTGACAATGAGCCCATGAGTGACTAAGGTTTGAGGCTGTTCCTCAAACAGTCGGGAGGCACGCCGACTGTTTCTGCGTTCTTTGTTGGTGGGGAGCCAGCCCTTCCGGGCCTTCTGGTCCAACCTCTTCATTTTGCAGAGGGGGAAAGTGAAGCGTGGTGTGGCTAAATGATTTGGCAGAAGGGACGGGGACAGGACCTGAACCCCGGCCTTTGACCTCCAGATCTAGGACTCTCTCCCTCACACCAGGCATTTTTGAACCTGAGACTTTTTTTCTTTTTGCCGTCAGTAACCTCTGTAGGGGTTAAAACCAGCCTTGAGATGCCTAGGTCAGAGGGTATGACAAATTAAATCACTTTTCTTGCATACATTCAAATTATCTTAGAGAACAGAGATGCCACACACACTTCTGGCAGTAGTGAATTCACGCGTTTGCCATCCTGCATCCCTTTCTGTTCAGGCCTGAGTTTTTCCCTGATGGTTGGGGGCATGCCTCAGGGTTATTTAATTGCATTTTTATTGGGGGGTCCCAGATCTCTAATTTCATTGGTATAGGGAACTCCTCTGTCAAAGAAGATGGGCCCCCATTCTTCACCCTCATGGTGTTGGGGAGTCACCAGAGAGGTTATGGCGGGCTTAGCTACTCGGCCAGGAAGTGTCTGTGACAGGACTCTAACCCAGGCTCTTCCCAGCTCAGAGACTGGCTCTCCTTCTGTAACTACTGTTGCTTTGGGGTATTCTCCCCACCCCTATGGTTGTTGCTTGTTTTGTTTGTGTTTTCCATTCAAATCACTTTTTTATTCATTTTAAGTATCTTTGGTTCCTTATCTAGATGCCTGTTTCCTTGTCTCTCCTCCCCAGCAGAATTTAGATTCCATCCAGGGCTGGGCCTTGGAATCATAAGTCTAGAGTTAGTAGGGACTTGAGACGCCCTCTGGTGTAATCTCTTCATTTTATAGATGTGGAAGCTTAGGCCCAGGAGAAATGACTTGCCTAAGATCACATAAGCAGGAAACCTAGAGGAGTGATTTGAACCCAAGTACTCTCACTCCAGGTTCTTTCCACTGTAGCCCATTCAGGTGGAAGGGACTGAAGAGGCACTCTACTGAGATTCCCCCCTCATTTTATAAATAAGGAAATGGAGATCTACTGGCAGGGACCTGAACCTGGGGTCTTCAGGCTCCAAAGCCAATACACTTTCTACCGTAACAATAACAATCACAGCTAGCTAGTACGTATGTAGCACAGTGCTTAGAAACATTATCTCGTTTGGTCCTCACAACAACCCTGGGAGGTAGGTGTGACTATTATTCCCATTTTACAGATGAGGAAACACAGAGGCAGACAGAGACTGAGTCACTTGGCCAGGGTCCGACATCCAATGAGCGTCTGAGGATTGGAACCCAGGGCTACCTGACTCCTGGTCCAGAGCTCGGCTCACTGTACCACCCAGATACCATGCTTTGCATCCCTGGTGCCTAGCCGCTGTACAGACATAAGGCAGGGCCTTAATAAATGCTTGTTGAATGCATGAATGAATGAATGAATGAGTGAATGAATGAATGGATCAAACCAGCATCATCCTGCCCACCAATTCTGGGGATTATTCACCACCAAGGTTTTCAGCGGCTAATTGGGAGCTAAGATAGACTACAGCTGAGACCCACCCACACAGCGGCGGCCCCCCGGGCAGGAAGAAAGCCCCGGGGCCCCAGCCCACTCCGCAGCACAAAGAACAGGTTTGCCTTTGGGATTAACGTCTCAGCCCCAGAACCAGATGACCTAATTTACAGTTTTTCCCAGGGCTGTGTGTGCACA